TAGAACACTAGATTTACCCTGACTAACATTGGTCATATTATTGTCCTTATGGTTTTGGTTCCACTTCCTGATGTGTTTTGGCAAAAGACCTCTGGTTTATTTTGAGTAATGATGCTCAATTCCTAACTGATGCAGCAGAGGATGGACTTGTATCAAGTCATAGACAAAGAAATTTAAAGTGGTATCTAAATTTTTACTTTGATCGAAAGAAATTCAATCATTCTCATTCTGAAACTTCAAGTGTTATCTGAATTTTTACTTTGACATAGACAAAGAAATTTAGGTCAACACTTTGAAGATGGAATGTTGAGTAATCTAAAATTTAGGAATGTTACAAGGAAAACTAGTTCAGGCTGTAAACCACCACACTTTCAAGCACAATCTCATATAATTAGGATTATTGTAAGGTTGGATGGACTTTATCTCGATTTGTTTTGATATATCATTAAACTCAAATGGACCTGCTAAATGTGAAATAGGAGAACACCAAATATGTTCATTAACTGTAGCTAGTCCATCTGTTCTACTTGCTGGTGGGAATGAACCACAACAGCATAGGCACCAGTTTCATTATGTTCAAACTGATCAATTTTCCTCCTCATCCTCTAGATCTACTATGATACCGGGAAATCGTCAAGGAATATATGTTCATAATCGGTAGTGATAATTAGCTGAATTTGTTGTTTTATTATTTACTATATTCTCATTATTTTGTCTGTAAGTTTTCTGAAGCATTTCTAAACAAATTTTCTGAACTAGAGTCTAAGTGTGCTGCTTTTTTACTTTTACAGAGGTCTGGTCCATGAAAGATGATTGTTTTGGGTGGAATGGTAAAGTTCAACCTCCGACTTTTGCCAAAGGACTTATACCAGAAACGAGGATCCAGAGCAACTAATGGAGAAAGGAGATTTTATCTCACTGGCCTTAAGCAGTTGGGTCAGGGCCTAGTTGAGTCATCAATTAGTAAGTTCTACTGCATTACTAATTACTATAGCCCTATTTCCTTCACATAATGGTGTAAATAATATTAATTCCTTATTTTGTTAATCTGTGTTGCAACTTGCATTGCAATATATCATTTGGGAGGTTTTTTTTAATTATTTATTTTTATATCATTCTGTGACTTCGGTTAGATACATTGGCCTGTGCACAAGTCATGCTTGGTTCAAAACTCATCTAGTTCACAATAATTGTGCATATTTTTTGGGTCAATAAATAAGATCTTGTTGCCTATTCATCTTGTTTCAGTTATGTTTCATTAGTACATGTTGCAATTTTATTATTTATTGGTGGTTCATGAACATTGTGAATCAGGATTTTAATTGTTTTGATCTATTACTTACTTCAAATTTTATGCATCAGGTTTGTGATTACGTCCTGCCTCCGTCAATTAACAATAGTATTAAGGTTGGTGCAACATTGTATATCTTTTACATTTGCATATATGGCATGTTGCAGATGCATACATGTTAGAAAATTTTTAAAAAAAAAGGAAAAAGATTTTAGGATCACTTTATTTTATGTACAGAGAATTTTAATGTTGACTTTTGAATTTTGGTCACAAGTCATTTATTATTTATGATTATAATTTGCTAACTTTTTATTTTTTTATATTTTTTTTTGGGTTAGGTTCTTTATTTTTTTTTTTTAATATTATTGATTCCAGTGTTTTTTTGTAGGAGCATTGGCCAACTTGTTCATTGAAATAAGCATTGGCCCATGAGCCTTATGGAAATTGTAGCCTTATGGAAGAGGCATTAAAATTGTTTGGTTTATTTTTAGTTTATGTGCTTGTGTAAAGAATCCTTGACTTTCAGATTTGATTTGATTTAGCTAATAGTGCAATTTGAAAATTGGATCGTTATTTTGGATCTTGTATTTTTTTTTTTTTTTTTTTGAGGTTCTTTTGCAGATTTAGTGCAATTGAAATTATACATTTTCTTTTTATATAAATTGCAGTGCTATATTGTTTTTTTTTTTTAAAAAAAAAAAGAAGAGAAGAGATGGCGCTTTTTTAAAAAAACGTCGGTAAATGTCATCATACGATTTCAGCATTAACTGTGACAGTTTCACATAACGGAATGTATGAGAATTTATGACGTTTTAAAAAATGCCGGTTAAAGTCATTAGCGACATTTTATAAACGTCGTATACCTAAGACGGCGGTCGTATCTGCGACGAAAGTTATAAACGCCATCTTTATTCTTTAACAGCGTTTCGAAGACTTATAGTGGCGTTTTTTAAACGTTGCTAATTCTGAAAATTCCTGCAGTGACTTTTTCATTCAATCACACTCATACATAAATTGGTTACCGTGCTGTTCAATGTAGTCATCAGAAAGTCCACCTCTTGATGCTCTGCTTTCTTTTTGTCGTTGTAGGTTTTCTTGTTGCTGTGTTCCGTGCTCTTTTGTCTTATTTTTGATACACTATCTAAAGATAAAAAATAAAAAAGGAGACTGATCATTAATCACTCAATGATATTTTGATCATAGTCCTTTGTGCAACGACACTGATGTCCTTGAAATTTTCTATTACTTTTTCATTCAGTCTGAACATGAATTGTTTCTATTCTTAGGTGTGCAATGCATTGTTTCTTATTTTTAATTTTGTTTTCAAGCTTAGTTTATTTATTATTTTAATAAACATCAATTATTAGTTCTTAATAATTGTTTGACAGGTATTTTTTTGTTCAACCATATAAAATTAGCACAATTTTAAAAAAAAAAAGGCTATGGCAGCGTTGAAAAAACGTCACTATATCCCACCCCAACGGCTAGATTTTGAAAATGTATAAATGTCTATGACGGTGTTTTCAAAAAACGTCGCTAAATGTCATGGTGATGTCAAAGTACAGTAAGGGTAGGACATTTGGCTGCCTATATTATTATAACGATGTTTTTCAAACGCCATAAAGCTATAGTGACGGCCGCGTCGTCGGCATTTGGTACTAAACGTCACAAAAAGAATTAGTGACGTTTTCAATACCTATAGCGGCGTTTTTAAAACGCCGCTAAAAATCGATTTTCCAGCAGTGTCCTCCGTTCTAAAATAATGATTTTTGTTGGAAAATGTAAATTTTTTTTTAATAATATAATTATTACATTTTAAAAAAATTAATTTTTTAAAATTATACTTTATAATACATTTTTTAGAAATATCAAAGTCATAATTATACTTTTTATATTATTAATGAATTTTAAAAAATAGCAAAATAAAAAATTTATATTATTTTTGTACTTAATTTTTAAAAAGGGAATGATATTTTAAAATAATAGAAAATGGAATAAGCAATTAATATAAACCTCAATCACCTTGTCTTAAAGACAGTTTTGAAATTCTAAACATTATTAATGCTTTGTTCACACCACGCTGATCAAGAAAATGTTGTCCTATGACCACGTCAATAAGAATGACAGACTCTACTATTTGTCAAAGTAAAATTTTTAATGTTGTTTGAATGATGATAAATTAGTACAAATTAAATGAGGATTGACAATTGAATAATCACAAGTAACAACAAAATCACTTGTTGTCTTTTGGTGTCCAAGATTTCTTAGGCAAACTAATTAGGAAACTGCGAATTCAATTTACTTAACAAAGTCTAATATTGCAGAAATCATGATTGTTGAATCATTTTGAGGCTAACATGGTTATTTGTTACAATCTTAGCATTTTAATTAAACGACCCATTGGACCCACATCGGATGAAAACCCATCTTCTTCAAGACCGCGGCCAAGAAATCCCATTTTATTCTATCATAAGCTTTATTGAAATTGAGTTTTATAGCCAGTGACAAACAGTCCCTACCTTCTTCAATTTCAAAGAGTGAAAAGTTTCATGAGATACTAGGATATTATCTTGGATCATCCTCCCAGAAACAAAAGCTGACTGGTTTGGAGAAATTAGGAGACCAAGGACCTTTTTCAGACGATTGGCCAGAATTTTGGTAATGATCTTAACACTGAAATTACAAAGACTAATTGGGCGGGAATGTGATAACTTTGAAGGGCTACCAACCTTTGGAATCAGTACCAAATTCATTTTATTGAGCTCTTTTAAGTATGTGCCCTTCCACAAAAAAGCTTCGAACAACTTGACAAACCTGGTTGCCCACCACATCCTAATAGGTTTGGTAAAGAACCTAGGAAAACCATCTAGCCCAGGTGATTTAACAGCACCTCACTGGAAAACAGCAGTTCGAACTTCTTCATCAGACGGTTCATCACTTCTGTCACAAGTGGTTGAACCACAGAGAGGGCTTCACTAAAATTTCTATCCCCTTCACTTGAAAATAATTTAGAGAAATAATCAAGCAAGTGGCAATTTTCTCTAATTCTGAATCCATCCAACCTCCATTCTCATCTTGTAGTCGAAGGATTTGATTTCTCTGACGATGTTGAATCATGGTGGCATGAAAGAAACTGGAGTTTTTATCCCCATAATTTAACCATCTAACCCTGGACCTATGATGTAGGTACATTTTTTTCTCTTGCAAGAAAATCTTCCAATTTTGATTTGATCTGATATTGAAATTTAGAATTTTTATCAGAAAACGATTGCGATTGGAGATTTGCCAAATCAACTTTCAGGCGAACGATCTGAAGTTGAAAACCATGTTTGTGCACAAAGGAGGTAATGGAGCCAAAAACTTAATTCAATGTACCTATTGAGTTTTCCAAATCTAATAACTCAATCTGGCATATGTCATCTACACAATATGCAATAATCAAGTAAAACACAAAAACAATACATGGAAAACTATTTGGAAAAACAATCCCGGCACAGCCTATTAAATACAATATTAGTTATTAAATGTTACTTCATTGCTTATCATCTTCACAACCAGAATGTGATAAATAAGGAATTATGGTGGTTTGAATAATTCAATTTTCTACTTGTAGAACAAATAAAAATTCTTACAAATATACTTATTATAGAGTTGGGATTAGAATGGAATCACTATATCCAATATCTTAAAGAATAGATAACATGTTTTTTACGAGGCAACTCATCCCAGTCCTACCCCTGTAACGATAAAAGTACAATCCTTTGTAATGTCTTAAACTCAAACATTATTCCATTAAAATAAAGAAATTCAAAAGAGAAAGAATAGAAAACAAAAAAAAAAATCATACAAATATATTTGTCACTTCAATCTTAACCTCAAAATCTATCGAGGATATAACTCAGTAATTGAAGCTTCATTGACTGACATATGGGTGGATTTACTTTTTGATTGACTGAACTCAGATACCACATAATTATTCTCTTGGAGTAATGGTATCTCTGAATTGATGGTACTAAGCGGAAAAGATGTTGGTTCTAAAGGTAATGAAAGAGTAAGAGAAAAGCTATTAAGCATGACAACAACGGAAGCCATGGTTGGTCTTACAACTACATTTTCTTGTACACATAGCAACCCAATATGAATGCATCTCATTATTTCACGTATCGAACCTGAGCCATCCCTTAATGCAGGGTCTATCAAATTCAATATTGTTTCTTCTCGCCAAGTTTTCCAAGCCTACAAGAATCAATATGTGCAATAAGCTTTTAGGGACTGTAAAATTTCATGGGACTTGTAAGTTGTCATTGATATTAATTCATACTTACATAACTTAAGAGGTCCTCTACATTATCCCCATTTTGGAAGCAATTATTCTTTTGACCACTCACAATTTCCAAAACTAGGACACCGAAACTAAACACATCTGATTTGACTGAAAATTGGCCATGCATTGCATACTCTGGAGCCATATATCCGCTGTAATGTTTAATATATTAGAGGCAATAATAGATTAGAGTAATGCAATGACTAAACTTTATATTAAAAGATGTATATTAAACAACATGTCATTATTGTATTGATTGAAACCAACTCTCTTTTATGACCTTATCTCTATAGTTACCAATTCTTAATGATTACAACAAAAATGGTTTTTTAAATATTTTTTTCTTATTCAAAGCATATTTTGTGTACCAAAACAATTATCGGCATATGAACCAAAACCATAATGAAAAATTATAGAATGTTGATTTTGATCATATGATGCAGGGAAAAATTTAGCACTTACTAGGTTCCCACGATTCTGCTTGTATTTCCTTGAGTTTCATCTAATACAAACAATCTTGCCATGCCAAAATCTGAAATTTTGGGGTTCATCTGTGCATCTAACAAAACATTGCTAGCTTTGAGATCACGATGAATAATTCGAAGTCGTGAATCTTCATGAAGATATAGAAGTCCACGAGAAATGCCTCTTATGATCTTGTAACGCATATCCCAATCCAATTGTGCACGATTAATGGGATCTACAAGTTTATTCATGTAGAAGGGTGAACTAAAACTCAAAATGGATTAAATCATCTAAAAATGTCCTTCAAGGATTCTAGTTTTAGGCTTTATCATGTGATGAAATGATATTTTGATTAGGATATATTTTCACTGTAGTGTGCTTCTTCAATGCAAAGCGATGACAATGCATATTTTAGGTATGTCAAGATGAAGTTGATAACAATGCAATGTATAGGAAAACAACACAACAATCATACTGAATATGAAGTTATCGAGGCTCGAGTTGGTCACAAACTCGTAAATAAGAATCCTTTCTATTCCTTCAAGGCAGAATCCCAATAGTCTAACCAAATTCCTGTGTTGAAGCTTGGCAACTAGCATAACCTCATTCTTAAATTCTAGTTCTCCTTGTCCAGAATCACTAGATAGCCTTTTCACAGCTATTTCTTGTCTGTTTGGAAGCCTACCCTGAAGATGAACAAAATTGATGTTAAATAAATTAAACTATTTTTAGCAAATATAAAATTTAATTTTAAACATGAAGAGGATCCATCATATTCATAATTGAATATTTAATTACCCAATAAACAACACCAAATCCACCTTGTCCGAGCTTATTAGCATCAGAGAAGTTATTTGTTGCAACACTAATAGTATCAAAGTCATATTGCAAGGATTCCACTGTGCTAATTTCATCCATGTCCTTACAAACTGAAACAAGTTAATAATTATGTCAATAAAAATTATAAATGAAAATATGGATCTTTCAGTAATGTCGATAACTTCCTTTAAATCATAACGTTAGCCATCTTACATGGTATACGGAATTAGCATTCTAAAATTTTCCACAGGCACATTAAGAAGTTATCTTTTAATTTCCTCTCCAAGATTTATTTTTGGCAAGAACATACTGAGATAATTGACATCATTAGAGTTGTTCTACTTTCTTTTTTTGATTTGTTAATGGTTTCAATTGAAACAAAATCATATTAAAGTCCACATAGAGGTCTAAATAAAACTATCTTAAACTTACGTTCAACATTCTTCTTTGGCTTCCCCTCCTTTCTCTTTCTTAAGAAGATGTAAATGCATACAGTAAGTACTATCATAAAAGAAATAATTGAAACAACAATAATGATGATTGTTCGAGTTGTATTATCACGTTTTCCTGCAAAAAAAGAAATTATCTCTCATTAAATCATGCTATAACTATGGATATTAAATGTTTGATGCAGATCTAAGTAAACATGGATATATAGTTGTCGAGATCCATGAATTGCAACCAAAAAGAAAAACACACATGACCACGACATCTAGTTATTATCTTTTAGGACGTCTTTCAAGAATTATCCAAGCTTGACTACTAATTCTCCTAATAACTTAAAATTGGGTTAAATTCATTTTTTTTCCTTTGTGGTTTAGGGCTGGAGCATTCCCCCCCTATCATTCAATTATAGCCAAAAAGTCTCCATGTGATTTTGGACTAAAGTACTATTAAGCCATACCATAGGACTTCTTAAATTTTAAATTAAAATTAGATTAAAAATTTAGCAACTGCAATAAATAGTTAAATATTTAGGATTAATTGTGATATAAAACATGATTAAATTAAAATTAGAATAAAATTGAAGAATTATAGTAAATAATTACGAATTAAGAATTTATAATTAACTGTGATTTAATTGAATTAATACTAGACATTATCAATTATGTATATGAGAGGTGAGAGAGAAAGAAAATAACCAAAAAAAAAATAAAAAAATAGGGTTTGATGGTATTATAGTCATTTCACATCTATAGTTAATGGTGTTAACGGTTGCATTTTAGTCCAAAATCACATAGGAGGCATTTGGCTATTTTTAAAAGATAGAGGAGTAAAACACTATCAAGCCATACCACAGGACTTTTTAAAATTTGAAGTAAAATGGTTCAATTCATTATAGTCTCTAATTCTCTCTCCTCTATGCTAGTTTGTCTCATTTGTGCTGAGTGATTTGAGTTTTACTAAATGAGAGTTGAGTGAAGGAGAACATAAATAGAGTGTGTTTTCCCTAATTATTTGTTGTTTGTGTAGTTGTGCTTTACATGGAGCTAAAGAGAGTCTTTTGAGGGTTGAGTGATGTTATAAAATTATAGAGATAGGAAAAGAGTGAGAGAAAAAAGAAACTCTGTATTAATCATTAGTAAATAAACAATGAATACAAGAATGCTTTATATAGGAGGAGAGACAGAGTTAGGAATGGAAATCCTAAGTATGGTAATGAATACAATATGGACATAAATATGAAGAGAATATATATACTATATTTAACACACACATACACCTCCCTCAAGCTCAAGGTAGTAAGGCAGATATCAACTTGAACTTGGCAAGCAAATCAGAGTAGCGTACGTCCTGGAGGATGAGCCTTGGTAAAGATGTTAGCTGTCTGATCGACAGAGGTGACAAAGAGAAAGCGAACAGTGCCATGAGTAACATGTTGTCGTATGAAGTGACAATCTATCTCAATATGCTTGGTGCTATTATGGGAGGAAGACATCATTATGTGCAATTTGAATGGCACTCTGTTTGTCACAATAGAGATTGGTGGCAGTAGGATGAGAAACTCTCATATCAAAAGGAAGCCAACGAAGCCATACAAGCTCGTGAGTAGTGTCAACAAGAGTACAATACTCATCCTCTATACTAGAATGAGCAGTAAGAGTTTGTTTCTTGTTATGCCAAGATAAGAGAGTCACCTAAGAAGAAGCAGAACCCTATACTAGAGTAGCGGTCAGTAGGATCCCCTGTCCAATTTGTATCAGAAAATGTATATAACTGTAAAGAAGAGTGAGTGAAGCAGTGAAGACCATGAAACATAGTGGCTTTGAGATAGCGCAAAATGCGAACAAAAGCATCAAAGTGCAGAGAACGAGGAGCAACCATAAACTGACTGACAATGTGAACATCATAAGCAATGTCTGAACGAGTAACTGTGAGACAAACAAGACTGCCAATGAGCTGACGATGTAAAGTAGCATCAGACAACACATGACCATCAAGAGGTATGAGACGAGTCTGAGGATCAACTAGAGTAGAGGTAATCTTGCAATTAGTAAGACTAGCATGAGCCAATAAATCAGAGGTATACTTGGCCTACAAGAGAAAATAACTAGAGGAATCATGAGAGATGGAAGTAGCAAAGAAAACACAAATCCTTCATCTCAAACTAATGACTAAGGAACTATTTGAGACTAGAGATACCTATTGTGTCATCCCCAGTGATGATCATATCATTCACATAGAGAAAAAGAAGAAGAATAGTACTATGCTCCGTCTTACAAATAAATAGGGAAGAATCATAAGCACTAGAGGAGAACTCAAAGTCACAAATGGTAGAATTAAACTTGGCAAACTAAGCCCAAGGAGCTTGTTTCAAACCATACAAAACATGATGAAATTTGCAGACTTTGGATAACGGAACAGAGGAACCAGAAGGAGGTTACATGTAAACTTCCTCAATGAGATCACCATTGAGAAAAACATTCTTAACATTCATTTAACAAAGATTCTAGTGGCAAGCTGCAGCAACTGCAAGTAAGCTGCGAACGGAAGTAAGACGAGCAACATGGAACAAAAGTCTTCTCATAGTCAATCCTATATTCTTGACTGAACCCTCGAGCAACAAGACGAGCTTTGTAATACTCAATAGAACTATTAGAATGGGTCTTGATCTTGTAAACCCATTTGCAGCTAACAGCACTTTTGCTTAGAGGAAGATCGACCACATCCCAGGTATGAGTTTTATCAAAAGCCTGCAGTTCGTCAGTCATAGCTTGTTACCACAGAGGATTAGAACAAACCGCTTGATAGGAAGTAGGTTCATGAGAAGAAAAAGTAGTGGAACCAACAATGAAATAAGAAAGAAGTACAAAAGGTTAGGTTTCCCGAGTAGAATAACGAAGAGGTACCTCTCGTGCAAAAGATGATGTATTGAAATCAAGGGATACATGAGGCTCACTAGGAGAGGAAATGAGGATTGGACTAGGAGCAAGAGAAGGAGCAAGAGCAAGCTCAAGATCCATGAGTGGTGCAGCAAGACTAGATGATAGAGCAGAATCCTCAAGATGGGCCAGAATCATCATGTCAGAACTGGCATCTGTATCAAGCTAATCAAACAAAAAAGAAGGATATGTAAAGAATGATGTAGTGAGCGGAGTGGATAAATGAAACTTAGATGTAGAAAAGAACATCTTGTGTTCCCAAAATACCACATAACGAGAGACAGGGAGATGACGAAAAAGACGATCCCAACAACAATAACCTTTATGTTCAATCCATACCCCCAAGAAGCAACACAACCGGGTGTGAGGTTCTAATTTGGTACGCTCGTGTGATTGAAGAAGAATAAAATAAGCACATCCAAACACACACACGAAGACTAGTATAAGCAGGAGATATGCCATACAAATGCTCATATGGGGTTTGATTTTTTATAGCAGAGGAAGAGACATGGTTGATAGTATAGACGGTTGTGAGAACAGCTTCCCCTTCAAAAATGTTCATGCCAAGAAGAAGATATTAAAAGGGCACAGACAGTATCTAAGATATGGCGATATTTGCGCTTAAGCACAACCATTTTGTTGGGAGGTACCAGGACAAGAATAGTGAGAAAGAGTGCCATTTTGACCCCCAAAAAAAACAATTCTCAATAAATGAGTTTCTTTGTATTTCTAGGCATTATTAGCACAAAAAATTTTGATGGTGAAAGAAAACTAAGTTTTGACCATTCGTGAAAAATCATAGTATATTTGTTGTAACTTAGAGCGAGATTTCATAAGAAATAACCAGGTAAAACAAGTGAAATCATCGACAAATATGACAGCATTTAGATCTCTCCATTGTGGCATTAGATGAAGGCCCCCAAACATCAAAATGTATGAGATGAAAAGGTGCATGAGACATAGAAATACTAATATTAAATAGTAAAGCAGGTTGTTTTGCAAGTTGACAAGATAGACAATCTACTTTATTATTTGGAACAAGACCTAATTGACCACTCGAAACTAGAGATTGTAAATGACCAAATGATACATGACCTAACTGAGAGTACCATATACCAAGAGGAGAACTAGCAGTAGTAGAAGCATCAATCTAGACAGAAGCATGACTGGATGAGGGAATATGAAGATGGATGAGCTCATACAGACGTCCATGTCTACAATCTATCCTAAGAGTCTGTCTATTTTCGGATCCTGTACAACACAACCAGTTAGAGAAAAGAGAACAGTGATACCAAGATCACAGAGTTAACCAATAGAAATAAGATTAAGGATAAGGTTTGGGATTAGATAAATGTGAAGAAGAGAGACATTAGAAGTGAAAATATGACCTATATGACCAACATGCATTTGGGAACCATCAGCAATGTGAATAACAGGTAAAATAGAAGCAAATGTAGTGGACGAGAAACGTGTAAGGTCAGAGGTCATATGGTTGTAGTAAGTTAAATCAAAATACCAAGAAGAAATACCTAGAGTGACTGAAAGAGTAGTAAAGGGTGTACCAGAAGTAGAGGTGAAAAGAACCTTTTTCACTATGGCTTCAATATCATGACAAGTGTAGGTTGGTGAAGGTTCATGAGTAGCAGAAGAGCCACCTAGAGAATGTTGAGCATGTAGCTGGCGATTAGTAGCAACGAAGGCAAAGTGAGCCAAAGAGTGATGCTGACTATGAGTCGTAAGTAGTCTAGCAAAGCCACCGTGCTGATAAGAGTTGTTTGAATGATCCATTGAGTGAGCAAAATAGGAATCACAAAGAGAGCTCAATGGTGTCGGAGTATAACTGGGTAAAACAAAGTGTACAAGTGAATCTAGAGGGTCGGAAATAGTTGGTACCGGCTGAATCGACTCAAAAATAGATGTCCAGGTACAAAAATAAGCCAATGATAAGGTGTGGCGCACAATAGTAAATGAGGGTGCGGCGCACGATAACGACAAAGGCACAGGGGCATTGCGGCTGAGGCGTGATGCACGATAATAGAGGAGGTGCGTGTCGCACAATTGTAGCAAAGACATAGGGGTGCTGAGGTGGATATTAGTGAACGTGCACAAAAGCACGAAAGTTGGCGTTAGATAGGGCTGATGTAGGATGACATCAGCAATGAAGGCACATAGGAGTGGCGAGGCCGAGACAACGCAGCGTAAACGGCTAGAACGCGGCTAGGGCTTATGTCAACAACACAGAATGCTAAGAGAGAGCACATGAATGCGTGTGGAGAGCATGGCGACAAGGAGACATGACATGTCTCTCTTTGGGTAGCACGTGAGGGCGTGCTCGAGGTCTAATAAAGATGTTTTTGGTGGCGTTGACTTCATCTTGAGAAGACGAACAGTCTGGTGTAGTCAAATGGTTAAAATAGTAATGATACGCGAAAACAGTATGATCTAATGGTTTGATAATGATAAAAGTTGTAATGCTGCTGAAGAATGGACGAGGAGTCTAGGAGAAAAACCTAAGCTTTGATACTATGTTATAATATTAGAGAGAGAGGAAAAGAGTGAGAGAAAAAAGAAACTCTATATTAATCATTAGAAAATAAACAATCAATACAAGACCCCTTTGTATAGGAGGAGAAAGAGGTTTTTTTTTTTTTTTTGGTGAACAACGGGCTAGAGGAGAGAGAGTTAGGCATTGTAATTCTAAGTATGACAATGAGTACAATATGGACATAATTATGAAGAGAATATATATACTATATTTAACAAGTGATTTGAGCCACACATTTATATGATGTTATGTGGTTAAATATTGTGGATTAAGTGAATTTATCCCCTATGAGAGTGGTGTACTAATATTTAAATATATAATCCCTCTTTCTATGCAGGCTAAGAAAGCTATTACAGAGTGTTGTGAGTTCCAATATTGTGGATTGACTGAAGAGAGCCCATATAATGAGTGTCTAATCCTAGTGTTGCGGTGTGGTTTGTGTTACCCTATCCTTGGTAATACTTACATTCTACTTCATTGATGACAGGGTTACTTGAGTTCTAAAGGTATGGAATTGATGTCTGGTTGTGGCTGCAATTTGTACTCTTCCATGGATGCAATTGGTTACTTGATTTGTGAAGGCAAGAAGTTGATGAAAGGTGGTGGCTGCAATGTGCGCCCTTCCATGGAATCAATGGTGGTGAATACTCTTTGGATCTTGTAGGACGCTCGTGATCCTCAACTAGCCACCTGAAAAGGAATGAATACTCCGGTCGAGGGTGCCGGAATTAGCACTCCGACAGATAAGTCAATGTACACTCACTTGGTTGCTTATATCTCAAGTTAAACTTACTTGTTCTCTCATATCTTTCTTTCGCTGATGATTCTCTATTTATATCTTTCTTTTGGGCCTCAGGGTCGGGCCCGCCCTTAATCCATTGCACGTTTATGTATTCGGCCTTAGTTCAATTGGTTCCACGGCCGATTACTATATTCGGCTTTGGAATCATCCAAGATGAAGTCGAATACAAATTTTGTCCTTGACTGTCCTCATATCGTTATTCGGCTTTATTGCCCCCATAATATCCGGCTCCCACAGTAGACATTATAATTATGTATATGAGAGGCGAGAGAGAAAGAAAATAACCAAAAAAATAGGATTTGACAGTGTCATCACTACAACAAAAAGCAGTTTTAGCGACCAAAAATGTAAATTTCGTCGCTGAAAGTAGGGCAATTGGTGACTAAAATTGAATTAGTAGCCAAAAGTAAAGTGAAGACTTTTGGCGACTAAAACAGTTTAGTAGCCAAATGTATACTTATTGGCGACTAAAAATTAGTTTAGTCGCTGATTATATGGGTTTTAGCGACTAAAACAATTTTAGTAGCCAAAAGTGAAGGTTTTTGGCGACTAAAAGAAATTAGTAGCCAAAAGCATAGGTTTTGGCGACTAAGAAATGGTTTGGTCGCCGATTGTAGGTGTTTTACCGACAAAAAAAATTTTGTAGCCAAAAGTAAAGGTTTTTGGCTGCTAAAAAAAATTTTGTAGCTAAAAGTGGACAATTGGCGACTAAAATTGAGTTTAGTCGGCAAAAGTGGCAGCTTTGGCGACTAAAAATCAGTATAGTCGTCGAAAGTGGTTATTTTTAGGCGGAAATTAATTTTTTTAGCGACTAAATTATTGGTAGTAGCCAAAACTAAGGTTTTTGGCGACTAAAAAAAAATTTAGTCGCCAAAAGTGGCTCCTTTTTTTTTAAATAAATAATTTATTTTTTACATAAATTATATTGAATAAAAATAATTATGTTTATATATATAGGTTCATATTAATACGCATCAATATACTATATAAATAATATATTTTGCATATATATTCATGTGGTGTTATTGTGGCATAGTGGAGAGAGTGTGCTGGTAGAGGTTTAGAGTGTGGAAGGTTGGTGGTCCAAAACTTGGGAAGAGAGCAGAGGGTAATTTTTTTTTTTTTTTTCTGAAATAAGCTTTTGGCGACTAAAACGGGTGGTTGCCAAAAGCTTCAGTATTGGCGACAAAAAAAATAGTCGGCAAATGTATAAATTAAAAAAATAATAATTCACTACTGGCGACTAAAAATTTAGTCACCAAATGTCTAATTTAAAAAATATAAATGAGCTTTGGCGACGAAAATTTTAGTCACTACAGACTTGGTTTTTGGGCGACTAAAAGTTTGTTAGTCGCCAATACCTTTCGCGACAGTTTTCCAGCGACCAAGGCGGCGACTAAAAAATTTAGTCGGGGAAACTTAAAACCCGACTTTTGGCGATTAAAAATTCACTTTTGGCGACTAAAAATTTAGTCGCCAAATGTGTTTTTTCTTGTAGTGCATAGTCATTTGATATCCTTAGTTAGCGGTATTAATGGTTACATTTTAGTCTAAAATAACATAGGGGGCATTTAGCTATTTTTAAAAGATAGGAAAGTAAAGCACTATCAAGTCATACCACACAGGACTTCTTAAATTTTAAGTAAAATGGTTTAATTCATCATAGTTTCGAATTCTCTCCCCTTTGTGCCATTTTATCTCACATGTGGTGATGCATACATACATTCAAGCATGTAAAAGGAGCACAATGCAACTTTGGAAAGAAATTTGGTGGAGGAAACTTGAATGTATGACCACCCACGATTTGATCTCTAATCCCATATTACATCACTAATTGTACCAAAAAGCTTAAATTGTCAAGAAGATTTGGTGAGAACTCATTTACAGAATTATATTATAAACAGGACACTGTTATTTTTTTTGGTGCACGAAGGACAAACAGGGTGATTTTTTCTTGTGTTCAAATAAATTGTGCATCATCTATGTTGTTTAAACTAGAAAAAATAAATAAATAAAAATAAAAAAAGATTTACTATTTCAATATGTTCACGACCCAAAAAAATATAAAAAAGTCTCACTTTGATTTTTCGCTTCAGGCCTCACATGCGGTTGAGCCGGCCCGGCTGGTGGTGATAGTGGTGGTGGTGAATCAGCTGGAATCTCATTAAAGAAACTGTAGGTCTCAAACCGAAAATTACAACTTGGTGTTGCAAATCTCCCCCCTTGTTTCCCAGCACAAAAGCTTGGAATAGCTTCAATAGCCTTGGTTAGACAATCACCGCATTGCTGCTCAGATAAATCAGGGGTGCACTGCTCAAGTCCATAAATAGTTTTGAACTCCGGAGCAGTTGTGTTTCCGGCCGCAAACTTGCGACGAAGGTCTCCTGACGAAGCCTGGCTTCGAAGCCTGTCCAACAAGGTTCTCAGATCATTATTGAATTGTTCCAAGCTTGTATTTTTTACATAATTTTGATTCGGCTGGAAAAAAGGGGGATTGTCTGTCACAGTGCCATTTATGTAGTTGTTCGAGTATCGCAGCATACAAAGCTCGTACCATCCAATGGCCTCCTTTTGGTTAGGACAAACTTGTATGAGCTTACTAGTGGCGTTATTGATACAACTACGACAGGTCTCGAGCTGAATGTCTCCTCTGCAAAGCACAATCGCGTTAACTCTGTCAGAGTTTTCGCCAACTGAGGAACTGTAAAACCCGTATTTATCGGTGTCAGATGATAGAGAGGAGAGGAGGGTGTTGAGGTTGGTCTGGTATGTGCTATTACTGGTGTAATTACTGGTTTCGGTACAAGAGTTGAATAACAAGTCAGGCTGGGCAATGGTGAGACCAACAAGATTTGTGAGAATGAGAGAAAGGAAGAGGGGCTGACTTCCAGAACCCATTTTTCAGTGTATACACACAATATGGTCAGGGCTTACAGTAGCGCAATTCTGGTCAAGATTTATGAACTAGAGGATTGAGTACAAAGCTGCTTTGGTTTTTAAAACTATATAAGCAAAAGAGGAGGCAGCTCTTGACGGGTGCTGTTTGGGTCGTTGAGATGGATTTCTTATCTCCCCACTCTAAGCTATGGAAATAAGAAACTTGCTGAACGAGTCTTATCTTGATGAATTTTTTAAATTACAACGTATAAATTATTTATAAAAACTAAAAAATAAAAAATAAAAAATAAATCGATCTAATAATCGTAGATTCGTTAATTTATTATATTTGTCTTCTAAAATATAAATGGTTTAGCTTTTAAATAATATTTGTCATTATTTTTTTTGTCAACTAAATATTATAAACTAACATGTCTACGATTATCAGATTGATTTAACTTTTTTCATGGGTATCTATACATTATGGTCTACAAAATTAACGGTTTGAATCGTTGAGATGAGACCTATTGTGCGCTCCTTTGACCTAAATAGTACTGAGTACTGACCAATCTACGAAGTAGATTGGAGAGGAGTTGCCTCCAAATGATGGTTAGTTTTAAAATTAAATTTTTGGTGAAGTAGGTTATCAAGAATATTATATTTTGTTTCAAAGTTTGGAATATGATGATCTGGAATTACATTTGGGCTCCATTTAAATAGATGTGAATTTTAAATCAAATGTTATGATATTGGATATTATAAAACTATTAAAGAGTAAGTTATTATAGGTGGATAGAAAAACAAGAAATGATATATATATTGTAGTAATTATGAAAATCCAAAATTACGATACCATTTTTCTTTTTAAATTACTTGTCATCCAAATATATAGTTAGGGTTGAATTTTTTTCAAGTTCAAATATGAACTTAAGAGAACTTTAATGGCACGTGGACTTTACCATAGGTCCGGTTTCAATAATTTGAACTGTTTATTTTGTAGAACACTTCGTATATGTTATTCATAGAAAAAAAATTAAATTAATTCGATTATCGTAATATTTTTATTTTATCATATTTGTATTTACAAAATTGAATAGTGTATTTTGAAAAACATATGTTGTCCATTTGTTTTTCTATAGACAAATGCGATTAAAATAAAAAGATTATGATTATCGGATAGACTTAATTATTTTCACGAATGATATATACATTGAAGATATAAACAATTCGCATCATCAAAATTAAATCTATAAGGAGTCTTACAAGTTCCTCAAATTCTCCCAAATTTGATGCAAGCATTTAAGTTCAATATGATTTATTGTTAATAATAGACGTTTGTTGTCTTTGATTAATTAACTTGTCTACAGGAAAAACGTACCTTTCATCCTTGTGTTTCCAGTTTTGTACTTTATTATTGGTTCCATCAATAGAAACTTTTTTTTGCTGATTAAAAAAAAAAAAAAAAAGAAAGAAGGGTAAACAACTACTCTTATTATAATACTGGACCGAATATCCCCATTTACAAATCATGTGGCTAGTTAAGGAAGGCACGCCATCAATTAAAAATAGATTATTTAATGAATTAAGTACTATCTATAAAGTAGTAAATAATTGAAATAGATTAATGAACGAATAAATAAACCTCATTCACCTTCACTAGGTAAAGACAGTTTGAAATTCTAAACATTATTAATGCTTTGTTCACGCTACGCTGATCAAGAAAATGTTGTCCTATGTCCACGTCAATGAAAGTGATAAATTATAGTAAAACTTTTAATGTCATTTGAATGATGATAAACTTGTGCGAACTAAATGAGGATTGACAATTGTATAGTCACAAGTAACAGCAAAATCACTTCTTGTCTTTTGGTGTCCAAGATTTCTTAGACAAACTAATTAGGAAACCGCGAGTTTAATTTACTTAACAAAGCCTAATATTGCAGAAACAATGATTGTTGAATCATTTATTGTGAAATCTTACAATCCTACAATTTTAATTGCATCAAACGATTCGGATTACATTAAGATTTTTCTTTAATGATTTTAAAATTATTTAACGTAAATTATCATTATTGATAACTCCTCATTTTATTTTATATTAAAAGTAAAATCTTATGATTTTGGATTCGATTCTACAATCCGATCCACCAATTCTTCCCAATCATCTTACTTAAAATTTCAATTTTAACAATCTTAGACTCTAATTAAGATTGTTTGGTTTTGTCAAACTCTGCCAAAAATGGGCATCATTTTTATTATGGCTTTCCTATCAAAGGACAGCAAAGCAACTATAAGGACATAATTAGGTTGTATTTGAATTATAAATTTTGGCACAAATTTAAAAAATAAAATAAAATAAGTAGGTGAAATATAATTATATTTTATTCATATTTCATTTATATTATTTTATCTTTTCATTTTTTAAATTCTTGATCCAAATAAAACGTAGAAGATTTTAGGATTTTCAATTTACTTATTTTTTATTTATTTTTTTATTTTTTTATAATAAACCCCTAAAATTTGTAGTTTCATGTACAGTCGAGAACTCCATCTTGAAAGATTTGCGTCCTTCTTTTTCACTTTTTTTTTTTTCTTTTTTTTCATAAGTTCAAATTAAAACCTGATTCACAGTGGATGAGAGTATAATAATTCTTAAACTATGATTCACAATGCATGAGAGGATGAACACTTTTTGTTGAGAAAATATCATTTTATCTCTTAAATTATTACTCAAAAATTAATTAAATTTTATTCTTTTAATAATATCAATTTTATACTTAAATTATTCAATTTTGCAATAATTTTACCCTCGCCCTCAATTACAGACTATAATCAAATAGGAGTTGCTAATGTGGCATCCAAATTTTATTTGAAATTTCATTTTAGCCCAAACTTTCCTAAAATATCAATTAGATCCCTGAAAATGAAATTTGGGAGTCTAATTAATATTTTAGAGATAGTTTGGAAAGTAAATGAAATTTCAATACCATGCCAACAATTTTCGTTTTATTATAAATGGAAGCTAATGACAAAGATCAAATTAATTATGAAACAAACAATTTAGATGTAAAATTGATATTATTAAAAAAACTTAAGTTGAATTGATTTTTGAATGATAATTTAATAAGTAAGATAATATACTCATTTTGTTTGTCTAAATATTATATATATATATATATATAATTTGGTATTCGGCCTAGATCGACTAATCCAATGTATAAATTTTGTTTGTTTGTTTGTTTGTTTGTCTGGAGTACAAATATCTACCAAATTTACATGAAAATTAAACTTAAATTTACACGATGAAATGAAGAAGATAAGTTCACCTTTTGGCCGTCTTGGGCGAGTAAGGATTCTCTCCTTATCTTTTCTATTTGACCCCTCTTTGCAATGGTTAAAATTCTTTAAGAGAATCCAACGGTTCAAATTATTTTATTAAAAAATTAAAAATTAAAAAATAATTTTTTAAGGAGTGATCTAAGTCATTAAATTTTCTTAAAGCGAGTCTTCACCGTCGTAAATGAGGGGTTAAATAGAGAAGGTAAGGAAAGAATTTTTGCTCTTTGCCGGCATCCTTGACTTTCCTAAATCCTGAGGGTGACGTGGTCAATGACTTTTATATTTGATAAGATATTTAAATGAAGTCTTTTTAAATTAGGGGTGTGCCCATTGTAGTATAGACAATTTAAAAGTAAAATTATAAATTAAATTGTGAATAATGAATTGTCAAATAATCAAATCGCAGTATATATGATTTGAGACGATTTCAATTTATTAGTTGATTGAAGAATATTCTTAATCAGTTATCAAATATTTACATAATATATGACACTAATTTGCATAATATTTTCCGTATATAATATTCTTAATCAATTATCAAATATTTGCATAATATATGACACTAATTTACATAATATTTTTCATATATATAAAACAAATTAATCATAATATATGACACTAATTTACATAATATTTTTCATATATATAAAACAAATTAATTTTACATAATATTATACATATATATATATATATATATAACTACTAATTTGCTACAAATTTCACATTCTAAATCTCTCTCACATTCATTTCTACTTTAATAGCAACCTCTTGATTCCGTAATGGGTTTCAAAAGAATTGAACTTCTCAATTTTATGCTAAAATTCTTATGTTTTGGATGAAATTTCAAGGTTTCCTAAAATTTAGAAATTTGGGATGAAATTTTATATTTTTATGAAGCAATGTTCATGTTAAATATGAACTTATGTAAAAATTAAACTTAGAAATTTGTGAAATTTCTCAGTTTCTCAGTTTCATTTGATTGAGAAATTATCCATATGGTGAAATTGAAAAATTTGTCAATTTTGTGAAATTGTGAAAAATTTCCATTTTAATATAATAGAACTATCAATATTTGCGAAATTGTGTTAATTTGTATTTGTGTGTTTGGAAGAGAGAGAGAGAGAGAGAGAGAGAGAGAGAGATTTCTTTTAGTTTTCAATTGACTATTACATGAATAATGAAAAATTGAGAAATTTGTAAAATTTCTTATTTTTGTAAAGAGTAATTTCTCAACTCAAAATTTTGGAACTTCTCCAAATTGTAAAAGTTTTGAGTTTGTATGTATTTATATGGAGAGAGAGAGTTTAGTTTTTTTAATTTTTAATTGGCTGCTATAAAACCGAGAAATTTTAAAATAAAACATAGGTCCCATTCACTAGTAAGGAAATCTATTTCTAGATCTGACACAAAAATAATTTTATTTTTGAAAATTAATCAAACGCATATCATATTTCTTTACTATATTTTATTTCAGTTATGCTACGTAGCTCGAATCTTTTCTTCCTCCGAATGCCCCGAATTCAAAACGACATCATTTCGTCGCTTTGATTTCCCCCCTCCCCAATAACGTAGAAGAAGAAAGAAGAAGGAGGAGGAGGAGGAGGAGGAAGAAGAGGAGAGTAGCGGAGAGAGAAAGAGAAAAAAAAAATCGACATTGAAAATCTAAGTGATTCGTGATTAGATCAAGGTTATAATATTCCAAATCCCAATTATCCAAAACACACGATCTAAATCAACTAACACTTACGAAAGTGATTTAGATTGTTTGTTTTTCAGAATAAACAATAAATCGACACAAACGATTTTTATGTGGAAAAAATCACAATTGAAGAACCTTCAATTGTAATCAAAA